GCCCGTCGGCGGCCGGCCCGGCCCCCGCGTTACCCCGCAGCGGGCCCGTGGGTTTTGTTCCAGGGCTCTGAGAGAGGAGGAGGAAAGAAAGAAAAGCCCTGTGAAGGGAACAGAATCGCGTAACCAGTCTCTCTTACATGTTTTAAAAAAATAGCGCAAAATGTCTGGGGTTCTCTCAATGGATTGGAGTTAACCGGGCTCTTGCTTACGCTCCAGACAACCTTCCTGCAGGCACCGTGGAGAAGAGTGAAGGTGCTTTTGCCCAGGGCCTGCAGCTCAGTCCTGCCCCTCTGAAGTGGCCAGATAACAGCTTTGGTGCCTTGGCAGCCTCCCGTGTGGCTCCTCTTCGTCTGCTCTGCTCCTCTGGCGTTCCCCAGCCCACCTGAGGAAATGCCTTCCCCTTAGGGAGTATTTACAGTGTCCTGTCCTGGGATTGGAAACCTCAACTTTCTGACTCTGGAAAAAAGGAACAACCAAAGTTTAGGGTGTAACTGCTGTCATCTTCAAATTAATTTGTTTGACAATAAGCATTAGTCAGCGGAGGGCATAAAATGGAGCAGGACCCAGAAGAAATGACACAATAGAAGAAGGCAAAGTCTAGGCAAGCGTGGTGGGTTCCCACGTTGTCCAGAGAGACTGAAAAAGTAGCTTAGCTTTCCTTAGCCTCTTTTGCAATAGATACGTATCATTTTGATAGATCACCCGTGTGAATAAAATAAGTTCTACTGTTTAAGAAAGCAATCATATCCCAGTAGGAAAAGCTGCTGAGGTGTGTGCCCCGGAGCTGGCTGCAGCTTAAAATTAGGCTGCCTCGCTGGGGCTGTGTGGAACGTGTGTGTATTGCAGTGCTGTGGATCCCTATGGCAGTGCTGTGGATCCCCCAGTGAGGGTACAGGCAGGATGACCCTGCCCAGGTGCCGCATCGGCACTGCCAGTACAAGAAGTCCCTCAGCATTTCTCGTAGGTCTTGGGTGCCCTGGCAGCACTCTCCGTGGGTGCCGTCTCCTGTGCAGCGTTTCCAGAGTGCTGTGGGGTCCGCAGTGAGTGAGGCACCCGGAGTTCCTCAGAACGCTGGTCACGGCCACTGTAGTGCCTGCTAGAGAGGTGACAGCCAGTCCTCTCTGCCTGTCTCAGCACAGTGTGAAGTGTAAGCTGCGGCCTGACCTTATCAAACTTCAGGGACTAGGCCCATTAGTCCTTATCTTGGGACTTTCAAAAGAGAAGGATGGTCTAGCTTTTCCATGTTTGGAGGTTTCTGGGAGTTAGGATTTTTTTGTCTGGGAATGGGGTCGCTCCCTGCTCTTGTCCCAGGAAGCTCTCTATCCATCAGGCATGGCACAAAAACGGGCAGCTGCAGATGTGTGATCTGGTACATCCCTTGGGTTTTCTTTGCACACTTACTAGCATTGCAGGGGCCTCAGTCTGCTATGAACCATGCTGCTGTAGTCACGCGTTTAATTACCAGCAATTGGGGTAACAGCAAATAATTAACTAAGAGTCATAGGAGCCTTCTCATGCTGTAGGTTATTCCTCACTTTTCTCACCATTACAGGCAGCTGAGAGGATTTTTAAACCTACTCCTTTCTGTGTACATTTTGGTGATTTAAAAAAAAACAACATACAAAAAACTGAGAAAGCAAACCAGCCTCAGAGAGCTGAAACTAGATACAGGACCACAGGCCAGCCTTTTGCTTTTCTTTCCTGCAGCTGAGCTCTGTCCTTATCAGACCAGCTAATGAGGGAGGTAATGATGCTGATGCCTGAGGATTGGGTATGGTCTCTGTTTGCCTGTCCTGGGCCCTGGAAATGGTCGCAACTCCTTACCTCCTCTCAGTTGCTGCTCTTTAGGGAAGCTTTCAGTCTTCAGGATTCTAGAGGCAAAGTGTCTGGGGAGGTGAGGCAGAGAAAAAAGTCAAATCCTTTCTTCTCCAAGGGCTGGGTTGCTGAACTAGTGTGGGAGGTAACCGTGGCAAATTCTGCGATCTGGTTCATACTTGATCCTCATCTCTCTTGGAGTTGTGTCACTGTAAATTAGATTAAGACTGAATGCAGTGGTTTTGATCCTTACTTATCGTATGTCCTTTAGCTGTAGCTACCTTCACAGTTTTAGTAGAGCTAGCCTGTAGCGGCGTGCTCTTTGCCTGAGTGTAGGAATTGGTGTTAATGTGCGTGTTTGTAAGAGAAATGCAGGATAGATTTTTGATCTGTGCTCATTTCAACTTCAGATCATGGCTTCTCTTTGAAAGCAATGGATTCAACATGAGATATGGGATAGGACAGGGTGTAGCTTGTTGCTTATTGCTCTCTGCGCATCTTGAGTTTGTGGAGTAATGCTTTGATTGCTATCGCTCTGCAATTATTTGTAATTGCTGCTTTACTACCACGCATGTCAGCAAAACAAGAGATCAGAGAGCAGTGTCAATTGCCCCATTTCTGCCTGAAAAAGTGGCTGGACGAGCCAGTGCAGTTCATACATAAGTAGTATACAATGTGAATGTTCATATTACAGCTGTTGTTAAGACAGTAACAGAAAATATTAGTTGCAGATATCTCCGCTGAGATGGAAATGACCTCACTTCCTTATTGCATTCTGTAGAACTGTATTGCTATATCACATGGTTTCAGCCTGGAGCAGTGTACAGCACTGCAAATGGGTGCCTGCAAGTGGGGCTGAGCGTTATGAGTTCGTTGCTTCACCGCTGTGGTGAGGAGAGTAGAGGAGAGATAGTTTTCAAGCAGAGAAAGAGGCTGAAGGTGCACTGTTTCGGTACAGGTCTCTCTTCAGGATTTGGGGTTCTGTTTCCAGATATATCACAAGCCTGTTGTGTCGTACAAATGGAGTATCATATCTTCTCTCCCGATTTATCTGTCAGTCAAAAGATAATAATAACGTAGGAGAGAACCACAGGATTTGACAAGTTCTTCCTGTTAAGACTGCAGTGTTTCAGAAGGAAACTGTAACCTGTAGTCACATTCCTGCATGCTAAAATACAGCATGGAAAGTACCGCATAGAGTGGGAGTAGGCGGGGAACAGACAATAGAGCGTCACTCTGCAGTTAAAAGAGCTGCTGTACCGTTCAAGGAGGTGGCATGCTATCATTTGGATGTTTTCTGTGCTGCTCTTCCTTATAATACCCACGAACTGGTAGACCACTAACTTATTTTGAAATGTTTCTGTTCTGCTTTGGCTACTGGTACTTGAAAAAAAAGAGCTACTGTTCTAGCTTGGGTATCAAGGCAGCACAACTTGTTATAGACCAGCAATTGAATAAATTAAGGGTTTCACAATAGTTGGGAGCTGGTTGCATTCCTACGCAGGAATCTTGTCACTGCGTTTACACTGGTTGACCCTGCAGAAGTTCCACTGAAACTGCCGGGTTTAGGCTGCAGTCAGGTTAGCGTGCAGACAGGTACATGCCCAGTGCGACTTGCAGCTGGAATTGTACCTCCAGAACACCAGCCGGCCCTGGCTGCAGGGCTGCACGCCGCTCCGGGGCTGTGTCGCTGGGTGCTGGTGGTGCCTGCAGCGTCGCAGTATCTGATGGTACCGTATTACTGTCTTTCCCCACACAGGCTGAAGGGAAGGCGGTGCTAATAACAGGCTGCAACAAAGGCTTTGGACATGCCTTGGCAAAACAGCTTCACGCAAAGGGATTTACTGTTTTTGCTGGATGCTTGCTCGTGGTGAGTAGTAATATGGATCAAAATCCTTCTCTGATTGGAGAGAAGTGCTTCTGAAGTGACAGCATCTTCATCCGCAGCCTCCGTTTACCCTAGTCCAAGACCCGAGGGAAGTGCAGTGGGCAGGGATCATTACATCTTCCATTGCTTCATCTGTTGCATCTTGTCATTTCTGTAATTCTGAGTTCTTTAGGGCAGGGACTGTCTGTCAACTGCATATCTGTACAGTGGCTTGCACAGTAGGGCACTGTTCACTGCTGGAAGCCTTTCAGCAACACCGCAACACGCTCAATAGATCTGATAGTCCCAAGATTGCTATGCTACTAAGGCTTTCTGTCTTCCCAGGCATCTCTGTTGCTGTGTTTGATTCTGTTGCTTTCCTTTGGGGACACTCCTCAAACTCATCTCCGAGCTGCCTCTCCTGCCTTGTTCGGGTTCTGTTTCCAAAGTGTCTTCTAACTATGCTTCCACAGCTTTTGTAGAAGCTATTCAGTTTCTGGATAGCTGAATAAACAAATTTACTATGCCTTTCTGATATCTGTAGGTCTCACCTTCTGTCACCTGTGTTTGGCAGATGACATCACTTGTTGTAAGAGATCAGTTTAGACACATTGAATTAGAAGGAGTTGCAGACCCATCATCCCAGTCCCTGCTCTTGCAGGTAACCGTGCTCTGTAATCTTCTTTATAAACTGGGTCAGCTCCACTTCCATCTCATAATAAAAGTTTTACCCTTGCTATGCTTTTTTTGCTGTTTTGATTGTAAAAACTCATGTAATTTCCAACCTGAATTGTTCAAAATCAGTTTACACCCACTTATTTCTCCGTTTGAAGATGGCCATTTCAGCATAGGTGCTCAGGGAGTGATGACCACAAATTCTTGAGTATTGTGAAGGGCAAGAGCAAACAAAAAAAAGGTGGCCCTCGTTGCCTGTGTGATCTCAGCGGAGGTTACGTTCTTCCACTGCACCAGAAGGGAAAGTTATTATCAGCTGACATATTGTGTAACTCGAAAGCAAGAGAGTCCTGTTGGAAAATTGCCACTATTTGGAAATTTCCATGTGGAGGCTCTGTAAATCCTTCAGTAATCATGTCATATGCTGCTTTGGGATGCCTGCCTCTGTGGTGATAGCAAGTCAGGCACTCACTTTGCCCAACAGTTCGGAAGGCAGCACGCTAGTGCAGGGCAGAGAGGGCCAGGCTCCATCTGAAGCCATGTAAAGAAACTACATGCTCCTGAAGTGAGCCCTTCTTGCTTTCTTTATTGTTTGGAAAAGAAAAAAAAAGGGATTATTACCTGTCCTGGAATGGTCAGGCAGCTCTCAACATCCCCTATGATCTGGCCTGGCAACTTCTCACTCTAAGCCAAAATTTTGTGGTTCCGTACTTGTATCCTGTGTGCAAGTGGAAAATGCATCAGCAATCATAGCTGATCTGCAGGTGACTTTCAGGAGGTTAAAGAGCACTTGACCCTGAAGAGATGGAGAGCAGGAGAGTGTGATTTTTCTTGTTCTGTGTGTTAACAAATTTTCAGAAGACCTGGACTCAGGGCCCCAAGATTTCACTTGTGGGTTTCCTCCCCCCATCCCCAGGTTGTTAGTGTTGTCTTATCTGCTGTTAGGTGCACCTGAAGGAGAGGGTCTGGGGGTAACACAGTTATCTGGATAGCTGTTGCAAAAATACTATAGCCGAATGCTTTCTACGATTCTTGGGACAGGCAGCATCCTCATGGAACAGCCTTGTGTTTCAGATGGTCGAGGGATATAATAGCCTAGGCATTTAAAATCTGATGAGCAGGAGCTTACTAAAAACCTAATGGTAGAATGCACATGGGATGAAAATGGTTATAAATCTAAAGCTGACTGCTCTGAGAGAAGGAAGCACATAGTGACTGCAGAAGAGGATGATGGATCCAAAAGAAGCAGTGGAGGCAGGGAGCTGTTAGTCAGATGGCTGGTGAAGAACAAGGTGTGAGCATGTGCGTGGTTATTGCTCATAAGTGAAGGACTGCACCTGCAGTGTGGCTGAGGATGCAGCCACGCTATGGTAACTGGCAGTGGGCATGCAACTGCTCATGACAAATGCAAGGAAACTTGCCCTGTCGTGAGAGAAGCATGAGCTGCTGTAGGTTCACTGCAGGGTCAGTGCAGGTACGGGGGCAGTTGTCACAGAGCAGATGCCGGGCCATGAGTTCACACATAGTTACACCATCATCGCTTACTGGCATGCTTTTGTACAGAGAACTAAAGCATCCCTGACATACTAACCACACAGAAAGCTTTTGCATTAAATACAAGATGGTATGCTGTCAGGTGCATCATGAGCTTTTTAATGATCAGAATAAATAAAGTCAAAAATAAAGTTACAGACATAACAAGAATAGGGCAAGCAGGCTGGAGTGGAACTGGAGAGGATCAAGTGCAAAAGGGTTTTCATTTAGCAAGGATAAGTAAGTCCACAGAGAAAGTTTCTGTTAATATATTAGGATTAAGATGGAAAAACACACAAAATTCGATTACAAAATAACCTGAAAAGTAGAAAGTACAGAAAAAGTTGAAATAATCATTGTCTTATTTTCTTTGATCTTACTGAGAAGAAGGATAAATTGTTTCCAGATACCTACTGCCAGCAGTTTGCACGAGGACTGCAGGCAAGAAAGGGGAAAGAACAGGGAATGTTTACATGAATGAATGTGTTCAAGGTCACCAGGCTCGTAGAAGTGTATACTGAGGGGATTTAAAGGATGAGCCATTGTGATTTCTGCCCCATGGGTGATATTTTCTGGAGCACCAGGAGGCCAGGGGATTTCCAGGGGCTGGAAGAAGGCAGATGTTGTACTTTCTTTCCCAATGGAGACAGACTTCTGGAATTGCCAACCAGGCAGCTCACCTTCGGTGTGCTAGATGAAATCGCAACACACTGATCTATCAGTTTTACAGATGTCTAGGTTGTAGTGTGATACTCACTGTCTGTACAAGTTTACTGGGAACAGACTGTGCCAGGTCAGTCGAATTTCATTCTGGGTAAGCAGCAGAGTCATTAAAGGGGAAGGAATAAATGTGTCCTGATTAAGGATTTTGACACAGTCCCTCAGGATAGTCTCATGAGCAAACTTACGCTCGAAGCGTGCTATTGCTGTTCAGACTTAGGGAAATTTTCTTGGCAGTGTGCTCTGGAAGAGAGAGTTCACTTGGAAAGAAATGTGCATGGTGCCAAGCAGGGAGAATTGCAAGTCCTTTGGGGAATGGGGTTCAAAATGATCCTGATACATTGGATGAAGTCTGAAATCAATTGGGTGGAATCCAGTAACGACCAGTACGAGGTGTTCTGCCCAGGAGATGCAGGAAGGGAGCGGGTGGATAGGAGCAGCAGGGCGGGGAGGAGCTGATGCAGGAGGAGGAACCAGCCGGATCCACGAGTGTTGAGCATTGTGTCCATGGCTTCTGATTCCCACTGACATATCTCTGCAGGTGCCCAAGTGCTTGCCAGGACCTAATCCTGAATCCCACAAGCTTCCCTGGGAACAAGCCGTGGCTCGGTCCGTTGCGGGATGGCTCTCTGCTCACCAGCCCCTGTATGATCTGCCCGTCGGCACCAGCTACCTCGGGATGCTCCAAACCAGAGCAGGAGAGGAGCGAGCGAGGGGAAAGGGAGGCAGCCGACAGCTGGAGCAAGGCTTCTCTGCTGGGTAGAGAGGGCTTGTGTGGCCGTGGGCTCCTGGCACTGGAGCAGGCCCTGCTTGGCGGAGG